TTAAAAGTAACGATAAGACATTTATTCTGATTTTTAATAAGTATTATCGCAACGTTCGCCGTGAGAATATGATACGAATAATCGTAAATTAGGAAATTAGTGACCCGCCATTTTGTCGGGTTCCGTGAATCTAGTGTTAATTCCGCGTATCTGCTCGTGAAAAATAATAATGTATAATGTATTCTTCCCGTGAAAAAAGAAGCTCGTATTTACAAGTTCGGTAGAAATAATGCCGGTGACGTGTGAACGAAATAAATTAAACAACCGATCGGTCGAGAACGAGCTAAGCTCGAACCGCTAAATTTATAGGGAACGATTCAATACCAAGAAATTCAGAAATAACGAAGTGCTGAAGTTAACTGTCAAAGACACGTTTATCTTCGAGTAATAAATAATCGAGCTACATATTTGTTATTCGCTCGCGAAACGTGGACACATCTATTTTTACTTAATACCGCATAGAATTCTTGGCTCGTATTTATTTCAGACGTCGCTCCCTTATTGTCGCTTTCCATTGAAACTGAAGCATTCTAGATGTTGAAAGTGTCTATTGTTCTGAACAGATCAATTGCGATGCGAATTCAAGAAATATCTGTAGAAACGTGTACATATATATACGGAATATTTTCATAGAAATGAAAATATAAAATAAACTGAATTTATATAAATTTCGTTCGGCAATAAATCTGATCTAGAAACAACCATAATTATAGTATATACATACGATATATTTTCATAAGTAGGAACAAAAATATATCGAATTTATAACGCCAATTACATTGTATTCGAATGACACTCGCGACCGAATGAATTAGGGATTTGATTACCTCAAAGGATTCGATTGCTCGATTGCGTTACGATGTAATTGTACGGAGCTCCGAATCGAATCATTTACGAGCGAGATCATTTCACGGGAAAATTCCCTCCGCGTACCGCCGAAAATACCGTCAAATTCGACGGTGCACCTTTGCTAGGATTCTACGTCGGTGGATCAACGACGTTCAAGTGCCGAGTTTCTAGAAGTACAAGTACTACTTTGTCCTCCTTCGGCGTAACGATGCTCGATGAAGAGGCGGGAGCACCTGGGCCTCGATATCCTTTGATGAAACGAGCCAGTCATCCGCTTAGTCTCGAGTGGCTCAACTTCGAGGGGGGCAGTTCGACCTTATGTCCACGGCGACTGGATGGCTCGACCTGTCATCGGTTCGTCAGTTGAATTATTAAATTGCAAATTTCGCTCGATCACTGTGCACCTCGGTTCCTACCGAGCCACAGTTCAAAGGTCTTTGACTAAAGATAGCTCTATTTTCCGACGCTCCGTGGCGCTTTCATGCTACCCGCGGGTAATACCAGTCACGCCGTCGTTTCATCGTTCATCGAGCCATAGCGTTCCATTATAAAATGAACCTCCCTTGTAATGAATCATCCGCAGTGCGTCAACTTTTCGCGTACGAGTCTATTGTTGTTCACAGAATTCTGTGGGCATTGTAGCGTAAGCTCCGTAGCTGCGACGAAGTTGCACCGGGTATTCGCGTAGAAATTGCACGTCGACGTTCGATCGCGATTGGCCACGATGTTCGCGATGTTGCAGTGCGATTTTAATTGGCTACACAAACGAAGACAGTTTAAAATGATACAGAAATTTCTGCTCTAATTCGCGCTGAAATTTTTGGATCTCAGAATTTGGGATGAGGAGATACGATTATTCGAGCCTTGCGTCTCGTTTTTATAGTCGTTGAAAATCGGTGATTATAAAAACGAGTTTCAAGGCTACGATAATTGCATCTACTCTTGCCAAATTGTCTATTTAGAGAGAAAGTACTATATTAATTAGCAGGATCTTCGTGCAAAGGACAGAAGCTACGTTGCATCAATCGCTGGCATGATTGCTACGATAAATTGAACATCTAAAGTCATAGTTGTGAGCAGAAGAATCGTCTATTACCTTCGAATTTAATATTTTCTGCAGTTTGTTACAAACATAATAGTTATGATCTTTGAAGACATTAAGTGAATTTGTATTCATAATAGTATAATTCCGAGTAGACACAAACGACTGCTGTTAATTATGCCACTGTCGGGATAAAAAGTTTCGATTTCACAAAATTTGCGTCGACACACTTTCATACCAAATTCCATTTAAATAAAGCAACAATTTACAATTTTATAACATTTAATATTCGATTTGATTTGCCAGATTTTCTGAATTTATGTCAAGATTTAAATAATCGTATGACACCAAAATACAATCATCATACATGCTAAAATGATTAACACTGGCTTTACGGAGCACAAGAAAAAGCAGCTGTTTCATATTAGTTTATAAAAGTAACAATCAGACATTTCGTCTGATTTTTAACCAATGTTATTGTAACATTTGCCGTAATTAACATATAAATTGAGTAAATAACTCACAAATGTGTGTTTCGAAATGTGCGTTCGACACGATTCGATCAAAAATATGATCCTTTTCTTCCGTGTCCGGCGAGTTCTCGGTAATAGCCAGTCGCAAGCGAGGAACCCGTAACCCGTACGGCGGAACCCTTTAACCTCAAACGAGCCGTGGCTCTGTCATGCTCCGTTTGCCTTCAGGATCCACTTAGCCTAAGAAGACAGGGATGAAGTGAATGGAATCGAATTGTCATTGCACGGTCAAACAGACAGTCTACGTCTCTGGCAGCGGAAGAACTCGGTTCCCTTTGATACGAAAGTAGTTCAAGGACTACGCGAATGAAGCCCTCGGCGATAGGAGAGCCACGGGGCTCCGGTAAATTGCGCCCCGTAAGACCCGAACGAATATTTGCGTATGATTAAACCGAATCGATCGACTAAGATTCCCTGCACGTTATTTAAAATACCGTTCGCCGTGGCGCGGAGAAAGCCCCGGCGAAAAAGGACGGAGCGAGGCTTGCGCGATGCGGAAGGAACGGGGCATTGTGCATTCGGGATCCTTAGCCTTTGATCATGCTGGCATTTAGTCGTGTTCCCGGGCTTCGTATGCGCAGAAATGATAGCACATAAAATTTCGAATTAATCGTTTAAGAGCGATTCGCTTCGAATTTCGCTTCGATCGAGTCGATCGGATCGCTGTGATCGTGTGAACGGTCGCTAGAAAATAGTTCATTAATAAAGTTATCGACCGATGGATCGTTCAAGTATAATTTTCCGCGACGAGCTGTATCGCACAGGAATTATATTAAGTTTAACATTGCTGCGATATACGTGTAATTTTTGATACAGCTGTAGCAAATGATTAAAAGTTAAATAATTCTGTTTTTCACAATTTAAAACCTATTGTGTTTGACGAAGCTGGAATAAGTTGTTTATTTCTATCAAATTGACATTGTCTGTATCAAAGTAAATTTATTAATACTGTGTCTTACTTATATATTTTTTTATTTGATCACTTCATTACATAATTTTTCTTCTTATGAGACAAAGTTCTGAAAAAAATGATAGGTATTTATATAATTGTGAAACACGCATAAATTGCTCTATTTGATACGCAGATTAACCGTATACGCAAAAAAAAAGATTCAGATATTTCAGCACATTCATCTGCACGTGGTATTTAGCTCTGAAATTAAACGACTGTAATTGCTCTCTGAAGTCAATTTACACGAAATTAAGTTAACAGGGCAGTCACCCATTATGACTGAGCTCTCCAATTACGTATTTTAGAGAACCAGAGGCATTCGGAGAAATTACGTTCCCAGTAGCGTCCTAAAAAAGACATGATAAACGCGTTGAAGATTAATGACTAACGAACAAAATAAAAAGCACGAGAAATACTGTCGCAAGGCCTTTGGCATCTCGACGGAAAATTTACGAAAATGTGTATCAAAGTGAGCAGATTTCGAAGACTTTATGAAATTCTATTGCTCTTTTAACGATCTCATTTTCCGTCATGCGTTTAGGTAGACTATAAATGCACAGTGCAGTGATTACTTTCAATTAGATAATAATTCACGAACGACTTATAAATTGAAGAAACTTACAGCTTCTTAAGGCGCCCATTTCTTACGCTTTCCGTGGAATGAATCTAAATGCATGGCACAGAATTTTATGCTCCTTTACGTTTCTAAAAATAAGATATTAACCCATTGTAATAAAATAAACCATTATTGTATCGAAACAATGCTTTTGTGCCTTGGTTTTGCGTGAAAATGTTCGTATAAATAATAATCAAATAAACTGATATAATATTATTGCGTTTAATGAAGTCAATTTTGAGGAACATTTTTAATTGCACTGATAACGTAAAGATATCGAAGAGAAGAATATTTAAACTCGCCTATTTTAATCGAATGTTCTCCAATGGCGAACGTACAGTTCGTTGAAAAAAGATAAGCGAACGAGCAGCCATATTTTCGGAGTTCCGAATCAGGCTCGCCTAATAATTCGACAAAGGCCGAAATTGCCGTTCGCGTCTACGATTTAAAAGACAGACAGGGTTCCAATTGTTCGCGCCATAAATCTCAGTGAACAGAAATTTCTAAACGCCGCGTTTTCGCGTTGCAACCGTCCACTAACGAACGCCGGACGAGAGAGAGGGCATAAACGTGATGCTAAATAAATCGCAACTCATTCTTCCCGCGACGTAAAGTGGATACATTTTTCAGAGCCGGCCATAAAGAGCCAACTAATTTGTTTAAAAAGGATTAATTCTTGCCGGTGCATCTCCAACGGGGAACTTATCGCCGCGTTTATTAATCGTCGTAAACAAGTTTAAATGAAGCGCCGCGGGTTCGCTTTCTGCGAAACTCATATTGGTGGAATAAATTTGTATTTAATGCCGTGCAGCTAAGACTTATGGACGGGATAAGTGGCGGGATACTTTAGTTACCGCATGAAATTGGAATTCCAGTTTCATTCTGTAAGCTGCTTCAATCATTGGACGCCGGATACGCAATTATTCGCCTAAATTGAGGAGCGTCGAAATAGCTTGCGAAGCGATGGAAGGGAATTTTTATGGATCGGAATGAATGAAACAACGCTTGTTTTGTGAATAATACCTTTTTTTTGTACAATGTCGTCAGAATATCTTTTTTAACACTGAACCTAGCAACTAATAAGAGCGTGTAATTGGTGTTTGTCCTTTTTTTAGAATAACGAAACCGAATGTACTCGGATGTTTTGTCATTTTTATCATATCGTTTGCTTGCATCAAGATGTTTGTTCAATCATGTCACTAACTTAAAAATAAAAAAACGTGATACCGTTCGTTTCAGCTGACTCGGCGGGTTCTTAATTTCACGAACAGTTGAACAATACTTGCCATTTACTTAACAGAAATGTAATTCGCAGCAGAGTTGTGCCAATTCGATTACATTGCGATTTAAATTCGCAATTTAGTTGCGTTGCATCTCAATTACATAGTGATTAAAATACGTTCTAATCGAATTACATAATTCAAAGCTCGCAATCAATTCAATTGCCGATTACTTTAATCGCGAGAGTAATTTAGATGCAACGCAATTGAAATACGATATCTTATTGAACAGAACATCTGCAACAAATAATCGCGCCCGCAAATAAATTGCTGAACAATCAGTTTAAATTACATTTCCCATTACTTGGCATTCACCGGTCAAGAAATCGTTCGCGATTCGATCGAAAGATCCTTTACCGAAAGGATTATCAGCCACGAGTGAAATCGTCTGTATAAATAAAATATAGCTTGGTATAAATTAAAATTCTCGCTAATTCAAGATCGACGACGAGAAATCGCTCGGAATTCGATTCGTTCGGAGCGATTCATCGACCCCGAAAGGTCCGTCGATCCCAGGCATCGATAAAACATTATTGCAAACATTATTGGGAACGTTCCCCGTGCCATTACCATCGATTGTTACGTCAATTTAAAACAGCATCGATCCCGTCGGTATCGTTTCCCCCGCACAAACGCAGCGCAATCCATAATCTGCGCATCACCCCGCAGCGTTTACATCGGCCGTTTCAATTAATAGGGGGCATTAATTAACGTTCGGATCGGAAATTCCCTATTTTCTCGGCGGTGGTTACGCACTCGATGATTAAATGCTGCGCGGCTATTATCCGAAGTCCGATGGAGTCCGATCGTACCCGCGCGCGCTTGCGTGCGTATGTATATGTGTGTGCAACGGCGCGTCTCCGATAACAAAAAAAAGCCGAAAGGAAACATTTTCTGGCGGAAAATTCTCTCTCTCTCTCTCGCTCTCTCTCTTTCTCTCTCTCTCTCTCGCTCTCTCTCTTTCTCTCTTGCTCTCGCTCTCGCTTTCTCTCTTTCTCTATTTCTCCCCCCTCTCTCCCTCTCGCCCATGGTAACAAGAGGGGATCCCGTGGATTTAAGTCTGAATACCCGAAAGCCGGTGGCCCACGAAATTTCTTCGACCCAGTATTGAATCGGTCGCCGTTCCTGCCGCCGCCTGTCGCCGCCGCTTGTTGTCGGTTCCTCTTTTCTTCCGTGGCCGGAGCGCGCCGACGCATATTAAAGTGCTTTTTCACCGAAGTATACTAACCGCGTCAACATGGAGACAATGGAGGGGATCTGCTTTCTCTGGTGGAAATGTTCGTCCTGGGGCACGAACGATTGATATTGAATGGCGACTCGCCGGTTGACGAAAGTCATTATGGTGAGTAGATCACGGGTCCGTCCGTTCTGATTCAATTCCTCGCAGAGCGCCTGTATGAACCAGGAGCCGCTGTCCGGGTTCCGCCACGAATAGAACCCTGAAATCCATAGTCAAATGTTTTCCGGTCAGAGGGTTACCTTGCTCTCGCTCTTTCGAATCTCGCTCACACTCTCCCTTTCTCTCTCTCTCCATCTCTCTCTCTCTCTCTCTCTCTCTCTCTCTCTCGCACTCTTTTTATATTCCTTTCTGTGGTCCGGGTGCTCTAACTCTTTCTGCGGTCCAGATACCCTAATAATTTTTGCACGATTTAGGGTAGCTGGTTGTTGTTAGACGACCAATTACATTTAACGAATTTTACTTATCTTTAAATTCTTGTATTTTTTTGTATTTATTTAACAAATTTACTATCTTTAACGAAACATGTTATATTAATATTGATGATAATAATATTGATAATGATTATATTGGATATAGAAGTAACATGAACAATCGCAGTCATGGTATATATGTTGTCATAATATTGATGGTAACGTTAACAATGATTATATTGAGTATGAAAGCAACATTAACAATCACAATAACGATAAATGTTGTATTAACATTAATAATAATGTCAACAATGATTATATTGAACATGGAATCAACCATATATTGAATATGGAATTAATCACAATAATAATAAATGTTACATTAGTATTAATGATAATGATGATAATAATGATAATAATAATACTCATTATTATCATTATTATTATTATAGTAATCAGTCTAAGGAGAACTAGAGAATGTAAATAGGGTGAAGCAGTAGGTCAGAGGTAACACTCACTCTTTTTCCCTCTCTCTTTCTTTCACTTTTTTCTCCACAACCCCCTTTCTTCCAGGCTCCCTTTTGCCCTCTTACTTTGTCTCTTTCTCTCTTGCTCTCTCGCCCAATTTCTATCGCGCTCCTCCTCTCTCACGGCCATTCTTGAACTTTTCTTCTGTGTGCACGCCAAGCTGCATCGAAGTGCATTTTCGCGAGCGAGCGTGTCTAGAGCAGCCTCGCGAACGCTCCGCGCACAGAGCTTCCGTTTCCAAGCGGGGACCGCAGATTTATCGCGGATGAAACGTTTCCATTAAGGCAAAAGACACGTCATTAAGGGAGACGGCGTTAATTGTGGGAGAACGTTTTTGCCCGGGGCCAAAGTCGTTCTTCGATTTCACTGTCTCTTGGGAATCGATTCTTTTTTTCCATCTCTCTCTCTACCTCTCTTTCCCTTTCTCACTCTCTCTCTCTCTCTCCCTCTCTCTCTCTCTATCTATCTATCTTTCGTTCTCTCTTTCTGTCTTTACTTTCTTTTTTACTTCTTTTCTTTTCCTTCGTTTTTTTATTCGAGGGCTGCTTCGTTTCTGATCGCGTAAGAACGGCCTTTAATTCGAAGCGATTGATTGACTACCGGTTTCGACGGAGCCCCAGTTTCAGTATTGTGAGAAACCTTTTGACAAAGCTATATGTATAGCGAGACTCGCGGGAAATGATACTTGGACAACTATCTCATTCTTTAGAGGAAGAGATGACATTGTTTCGATGTGCGCGAAATATCGTCATATTTTGTCGGTTCTCTGTTGCACTGTGCATTTAGCTGAGATCAAATAATCGATTAATAGAAATACATTAACTTCCTCGAAATTCGTTAACCGATCTCTTCGAAAACATTTTTGCCTAGAATGAGCAGACTATTGATTTTTATGCAAAATACGAAATTTTCTAAGTCATTTCAATAGTTTCAATAAATTTAGAACAATATAACAATTCCGCTATTATTATTTACTCTTTTCTCTATTGTTTGGCGATTCAAACGTAGAAATTGTGAACACAAATTTTCGTTCATTTTTCATTGATTTTTCATTCGTCACATTTTTAAATGAAAGTAAATTTTCTTTCTGCTTTGACCAGCATTTAAACGTTTCAGAAAAGTTCGCAGAATTTTCACGACAATTGATCTTCGATAATTTTATACAAACTAATATTCAAAGTAACGTTCCTCAATTTTATTTAACAGCATGATTTTACAGTCTGACATTCGGACAGTTTTTGGATTGCAAGAAATGAGTCTAATACCAAAGTGCAGCTAAATATATCTAAAATGCGAAACGCTCGTGTTATTATCGCCAAAAATGTACGTAAACATTTTAAGAAAATATCGTCGGAAGAGTTGCTCTATATGGTTACGATGATTAAGCTTCTCCTAACAACGTCTCCCATGCTCTAATCCTCACCTAATAACTATTAATCGAGGAAACTTGCCAGTAAGGCGAAACTCCCTCCGCACGATGCACTATCAAAGGAAGCGAGTTAATCGAGTATAATACTAACTATGTTTGCATAATATTATAATATTACTGCATTCTACAATACGTTATGTAACGAACAGCACCGGCGGTGGGCGTAAGTCGCGCAATTCATGGAAAGCTTACTTAAGCTACGCGACTCCATTCAGGTCTCTATGTACTATAACGAACTAAATCATGGATTTTTCTGGATCTAACGTGCTTCTGCATTGTCTAGACTAAAGTCTATAAATCGTTTCTGTTCTTCGGAATAAATAATAATATTTAGTTTTTTATTTCAGCATATAGAAATGCGCAAAATTATATCAACAGCTGCAGGAGATGCTTACTTTTGTAACAATTAAATAATAATATAATAATTTAAACGATGCCAATTAAATGTAATAAATAATAATATGTAAACAATGATTTCAATTTGATCCTGGAAATTAGATTTTTTTAAGTGAAGAAATCGTTTGACCGAATCGATGCTTCATTATATTTCAAATTCGACCTGTTAATATTTTTCGAAATATTTAAAAGTATTTTTTAATCGCTCAGAAAATAGCGTGCAATGCTAAAACAAATGAAAGTTTCTACTTCATTCCATGCCGTTTCGTTTCGTTTCATTTCACGTTTGCTGCAGCTGTTAATGATGAAATTTGTTCTCGACGCAGTTTTTTTCCCCCGTTTCCAACGATGCACGAATGTTCATAAAATTCCGAAGTCGCGCAACAATTTCCGTTAAAGCGTGCACGGAACAGTGTGTATTTTCATGTCGAAAACACATCGGTAGTTTCACGTTGGAACACGATCGATAAACAATTGAAACGTCGATAACGTTTGATATACATTTCCATGCGTAAACATCAAAAATGTGCTCGCTAATGTTGCGTAATAATTTTTCAAACATTTCTCTCCATTCGTAAACGTTGCGTCGAGCGTGATCGGCGGAATGATCGTTGCTCGAATAAAATATCCGACCGAGAAGAATGCATTCGAAACGACGCGAATAACGCCGAATTCGGCGCGCCGAGCACCGAATGATTTTTGCCGGCCGATTTATGCGAGCTTCCTTATCGCCGCAAAAAAGGATCAATCATCCGCAGCGGGCCCCGCCGTATTTGCGGACCGTCTCGCGCCCGACCGCAGGCTTAACGATAATTCACCCCCATTCGGATCCTCCCCGTTTAGCCGTGGTATCGCGGGACAGGAAGTTGAACCCGCAAGAAATCAGGAAAACAACCGACAAAGTTGCCAGATTAAACAGATCTAAACGAGTTTGTACGAACAGCGAGTCCGCCGGCTCCGTTTCCGCGTATTGTTGCGGCCCCGATTCTGTTTATAAAGACGGCGCATTCGCACGTGATGGACGGTCCTTGATGAGGTCATTAGTTGGTTTCGTGAACCTTCGCCTCGGCTAAATATCGGGCTTAATGGTCGGTCGGGTCGGTTTGCAGAAATAACTTGAACGGCCGCGCCCCAAAGAGGATCGAGGAACTTGCGTATACAGGGTGGCCCGGAACTACCGTTACCTACGACCGGATACGGCTGACTCCGCGGCTGATCTGTACCTTTTTCCTCAGCGAAAATCGCGGTTCCCAGCGTTTACCTTTTAGGCACGACGCGCCACTATAGTGGCTTTCGCGGATGTCATCTCTCTGAATGACGCGCCACTATAGTGGCTTTCGCGGATGCCATCTCTCTGAACGACGCGCCACTATAGTGGCTTTCGCAGATGTCATTTCTCTGATCGACGCGCGACTATAGTGACTTTAGCGGATGTCATCTCTCTGATCGACGCGCGACTATAGTGGCTTTCGCGGATGTCATCTCTCTGATCGACGCGCGACTATAGTGGCTTTCGCGGATGTCATCTCTCTGAACGACGCGCCACTATAGTGGCTTACTCTAGTAGCTCACTCGGTCATCGTTTGAATCAAATAATCGTCTTCATATGCATTGTTTCACACTTCTTCCGTCTTCACATCGATTTACAATATACAGTCTTATCTTAACAATATAACTGTTAACAATATAACTGTATCTTAACAATATACAGACAGAATACGCAGACACTCTGTACAGTAGATATCAGACTCCAATGTCCAGAGAAATAGCCTCGCGCAGAATTCAGCCGTACCTAAATGGTTAACGAGTCGTCAACAAGAAAACGCGACGCAATCGGAGAGCGAGTACGGCGGACGAATTTCTTCGGGCGGTCCGTGTTTTTCGCTAATAATTAGCCGACGAAGTCGCGACCGATATTTTCGACGAGGAAAAAGTTACTTCGGATCGGCTGTGCACCGGAAGTTCCGGGACACTCTGTATACGGTGGCTCGCGAAAGCGTTCGAACACCTTTTGAAACGGGCCACTCGAAACTTGACCTTTTTTAGAATTCGACCGAACGGCTTGAACTCTCTTTCAGATGTTTATTCGCCGAGATAAAATGAGTTGATTAAACACGAACCAATAGGAACGTTTAGAGAATTTAATACTGCTGTGGCATTGTTAGAAATTCGATGAAATAATTTCGGAAAGAATGAAATGTAATTTGTAATTGATGAAGAAAATTTTTACTTTCCATAATAATTCGCAGAGTAGTCATAATTGAAGATACACATTTTAAAGTATGTACTTTAATAGTACAGTGTAAATAATGATTTTTACTTTCATATAAAAGAGAATTGTTTCCTTGACAAATTTTCTTTTGACATTAAAAGTAGCGGACGACTCTAAATCGTCTATTTCGAATACCTCATTTTATGATCACAAGAAAAACAATG